GAACTAATTTTGCATGTCAGATGTTGGCAAAGATAAATTAGACTTGGATTCTACCCTCAAGAAGCTATAGTCAATGCAGAAGATGAGACAGTTACATGAATAACTATAATACAAGTAGAAAGTGAGAAAGTTGCCTGGGCATGGTGGCTCACACCTGTTATCCCAATGTTTTGGGAGCCAAGGAAGAAGGATCATTTGAGGCCAGGAGTTTGAGATCAGCTTGGGCAACATAGTGAGACCCTGTCTCTATAAAAATTTAAAAATTAGCCAGTCATGGTAGCATGCACATATGTGGAAGGCTGAGGTAGAAGAATTATTCAAGCCTAGGAGTTCGAGGCTACAGTGAGCTATGATCATGCCACTATGCTCCAGCCTGGGCGACAGACAAGTCCCTGTCAAAAAAGAAAGAAAAGCAGCATTTCTTCCACAGGGAAGAATTGGGGAAAACTGTAAAATAAGCCACATTTGAGCTGGTTTGAAGCCAAAGATTATCCCTGTAATCAACATCTAATTTTGTATCAAATTCCATCATGAAAGTGTCTTTGGAAATATTTGCTTTGGTCCTTGGCCTTGCCCCCCTTTCCCTTTCAGAGTTCCCTCCATGTTTTAAAGCAGTGATCTCCTCTGAGCCTGGGCCTTCACTAAGCCTCTCTCAGGCTGGTTTCCCTGGCAGGGAGGGTGGAAATGCAGGAGTGGCAACTCCAGGAGGGGCAGCTTCAGGCTCTGCAGAATTTAGTTTTGGTGGCCAGGCCATGATCAGTCCCACCTGCTCTGATGCTCAGTGGGAACAAGGCCATTGTTGGTGGAGCATAGCTCTGCATCTCATGGGATATACGATATAGATATTTTGGGCCTCAAATATGAGGCTCAAGAAACTGAAGGTTTTATATTTAGTTGATATCTTAAAATTGTGGAAGTTGCATTTTAGCCTTTGGGACAGCCAGAAATGTCTTCTTTATAGAAAATGGTTCTTGGCAGCATATTTTTTTCCAGAATTACCAACAAACAAGGAAAAAAATCCCCAACTTTGCAATAAAGTTAATTGGGACTTAATGAGGCAAGTAGTCAAGAGATGGTGTTATGAGTATGCAACACGAAGTGACCTGTTTTAAGGCCAGAAGCTGCCACCTGTCGAAGTGGTTTAAATCAGGATTTTGGCAGAAGCATATTATTGTGACAGTTAAAAAATGTGAGTGAAATTCGGTCTCCTCTACATACCCTATTTAGGAATGTAGTCATTAAGCCCCTGCACTGTGACTCAGCTCAGAAGACACAAGAAGGAATGATCTAACTCTCTAAGAGATATGGAAGTTTTCTTCCAGTTTGTTAACCCACAGCAAATTGGCTGATACATGGGAGAGGAGCCAAACTTGATCATGTTTGCATTTTATCTCCCTCTTTACTGTAAAAGATTTTGACTTGAAAGAAACTTAGTATTGCATTTTCCAAGAAAAGAAAATCAGCAGCATTGATGTAAGTATGGTTCTGCAGTACCAGAGCCAGAAGTGCGTATTGTAATCTTATCTGTAGGGGGGAAATGGAATTTCATGAGTGATTATGTTGAAACATGCTTGCAGACTTAAGTACTTAATATGACTTATATGTGCTTAAGGGAAAACATGAATTGTAAGAGAGGAAAAGTTCTGACTTCAGTTCTCCGATCTGCCACTAATGATTTAGCATAAAGCCTTGGACCGATTTTTGTGCCTCAGATTTTCCATGGATGAAAATGGTACCACGAATGTATCATAGACCTTGTAATCATTTTTAAGTTATTTTTAAATTTAAAACCTCTGAGAACATTTGGCTTTAAAGAATATTAGAGCTTTTAAAAAGGCATAAGGCAATTGGAGCATTCCAAGACATTGGCAAATGCTACTGAAGAGGGTTTTGTGACACAAAGAGCCTTAATCTCCCTTTAAAGCTTGTTTCATCTTTCAACAAATTATTCTTATAGTTTAAATATTTTTTCTTGCTTTAATTTTTCTCTAGTTCCTCTAACTCTGTCCATTCTCTCTAACAATGCTAATGTCTCTAACAAGGGAAGACAATGTCACCTTACTCCTTGCAACATAAGAATTCTTGTATTATTAAGACTTCTTAATTTTCTTGAAGATGCAAAGGATCAGTGAACCAACTAGTATTTATTGAGTACTTACTGTGTTCTAATATGATGTTTGGGAAAGGGATATGACAGCTGATGGATTTCCAGGCAGTACAAAAGGCTTATTGCATTCATATTGAAAAGCTTACTGAATCTCCAGATTCCAGTCATTCAAAGGTAGATTCCTTTCTGTACCTCCTTGGGTGTGCCTCACTATGCTTGATTATTTCCAGTGAGAGGTCCCAAGCTATCTCCTGACAAGCTGCTCCTTCAGTTTTTGCCATCACATAGTTGCCAGACAAGACAGATTTTCATGTAATACAGGAATGAGTCAAATACTTTAAGTGCTGAATCAACTGAAAAAGACAATTTCTGCATGAGATCAACGAATGAATCACTGTTGGCTGTTGTGGTCAGGAAAAGATGATGACCTAGGGTTAAATAACCAATATCTTTCAGTTTTTCTCAAGGTACAATACATATGTGCATCTTTATTATTATTAGTGTCATTTGCAAATCCTAATAATAGTTAACATTTATCTTATTCTTCTTAATGACTTAAAAATTTTTAACTGACAAATAAAAATTGTATATATTTATGAAGTATAACGTGATGTTTTCATATATGTATACACTGTGGAAAGATTAAATCAAGCTAATTAATATTCATCACCTTACATACTTATATTTTTTTATGGTGAGAACATTTAAAATCCATTAGCAAATTTCAAGTGTATAATACATTGTTATTAACTATAGTCATCATATACAATAAATCTCTTGAACTTTCTCCTTCTAACTGAAAAAAAAAATTGAATGACACATATATGTGTCATCCTTGTTCAGGGGCCACACTAATCTCTGTATTTTTCCAATTTTAGTATTTGTGCTGCCAAAGTAAGCACTAGTTAACTTTTACGTGATGCTAACTGTGGGTCGAGCACTAGCCAGTGTGTATACTGCCTCTCAACTGACACTGTGTATAAAATCTTACAGATAGCTAGAGAATCTATTTTGTGCTAAGAGCCACATCATTTATGTGTGTGTGTGTGTGTGTGTGTGTGTGTGTGTGTGTGTGTGTGTGTGTAATTTTATAATCTACACAACCACTCTTTGGTACGGGTATTATTATCACCATTTTGCCCAAGGAGACACTGGGGCTCTGAGAAGTTCAATAACCCACAGTAGCAGAGCCAGGCTTCTCACCCCACTCTGTGTGATGCCACAGCCCTAGCTTTGTCTGTTAGGCTACACTGCCTCACCTGGAAATCTTCCCTATTCTATTAACTTGCTAAAGAAAACAGCTAGCTAACTAGTTCTTTCCAAAGGACTAGTTCTTTCCTTAGGGCTAAAACAAGAGAAAATTGGCATAAGCACTGGGAGAGGCAGGCCCACTGGTGGTTTTACCTCTAAAGTCATTCTGAGGCTCATGCACTGGCCCTTCTCTCAGTCCTGAGAGGAAAATGACATGTAGTCCAATGGACATCCATTTTTATATATAAATAAGGAGTACCTTTAGTAACCCTCTAGGGTTACTAAAATCTAGTACCTACAACTAAAATTAATGGTAAACTATCATTTACTGAGGTCTCTAACTTTGTATTCGTAGAAGCACTGCTTCATAATGAGGCAGACTCCTTAGTGTGATTCAGCACATGTAGATAATTATTATAATTCTCACATTTTAGGGGAGGAAATGTCATCCCTCCCTCCCTTCCTTCCTTCCTTCCTTCCTTCCTTCCTTCCTTCCTTCCTTCCTTCCTTCCTTCCCTCCTTCCTGTCTGTCATGGTTTTTAATTTCTACTCTTCTTGCTTTTTATTTTTACAATTATATTTAGGTTTACGTTTGTGGATCATCTTGTTCTTGTATAACTGCTGAGTTGTAAACTTTGACATGTTATTTCCTCATGGATTCTTATCACTGAGGTTTTTTTTAACTGAAAAGTAGGAATGAAAATTCAGAAGTACTGATATTGAGGGAATGATTTCCAATGATTTCCAGGCCTTTTTCTAGCCCTAGATATTTCAGGTGAACATTTCAGCATTTCAAAACAATGCTAGAGAGTACATATTATTTTCCTTAAGTTAAAAAAGAGGAGCCAGGCACGGCGGCTTATGCCTGCAATCCTAGCACTTTGGGAAGCCAAGGCAGGTGGATCACTTGAGATCTGGAGTTTGAGACCAGATTGGCCAACATGGTGAAACCCCATCTCTACTAAAAATACACACACACAAAAAAATTAGCTGGGCATGGTGGTACATGACTGTAGTCCCAGTAGACACAAGAGGCACAAGAATCACTTGAACCTGGCAGGCAGAGGTTGTAGTGAGCCGAGATCGTGTCATTGCACTCCAGCCTGGGCGACAGAGCAAAACTGTCTCAAAACAACAACAACAACAACAACAAAAACAAGACTGAGGCTTAGAAAGTTAGTAACTTGCTAAGATTTAAGAGGTAGTAAGTAAGTGGTAGAAATGAAATTAAAACTCAGATCTGTCTGATTCCAAAGAATCCATTCTTCCCATTACATTCCACTGTCAATCCTGGAGTGTCTGCCATCTAATCTTACCCTCAGATTTCTTTTTTTCCACTTATGTGGCTAAATGTAATTAATAACTACTGACCATATAAGTGAAATTTCATTAGACCTAACTTCAAGAAAACTATATATTGTTAGCAGGCAACTGAATATTACTAAGCTGTTAAACTGCTTTGTGGATATCTTATTTGCTATAGATTTCGGATGTAATGTGTGTTTTTAAAAATTTTTTTGGTATCAAGATGTAACATCTGTATTTCAGGGACTGAAATGTGTACATTTAATAAGCTGCTATAAGTAAGATCGTTCTAGATGACTAAAGAAAAGAAAAAACTTGACCTTGGAATTTTTTGCAGGCATTCTGCAAAAGCTCACTGATGTTGGAACGTTTGGATGTCTCTTATTGCTCCCAGCTGTCAGATATGATTATCAAAGCATTGGCCATTTACTGCATTAACCTCACGTCTCTCAGCATTGCTGGCTGTCCAAAGGTATGTGCAGGAGTCAGGGCTCGGACACATCAAATTTAAGCACAGACAAGGGACAAGGCAGGACAGCTATCAGGGCTGGACTCAGAATGTGTTTTCTCTGCCATGGTTGAGGTATTCATTTGAATTTTTTTTCTATCCTCCAATTGGAAATAGCTTATGATTCCATTGGTGTCAAAGTAGAATTTTCGAAAAGTCAAAAACATAATTCTCATACAAATATAAACACGTTTCAAATATTTATTTAATTCATTAATGAGAGAACCAACAAAATGACAAAGCCAGTGTGAAGAGCATTTGAATGAACTTAGTACTTGTAGGAACTGATGAAAGAATGTTGGAGTAACAGTGTTAGGTTAGGCCTAAAACTGTCCTACAAGTCATTAAATCCATAACCTTGGGGTTATAGTTTCTACCAGATGCAAATAATTTGCACCTTTCCCGGACAAAAATATAACAATTAACATATAACTTCATGGAGTTGGGGCCTTAGTCAACAGTAAACAGTATGTTAAACAAAGGCATGATTTCCTACAGAACTTTTCAGGTAGGCCTGTTAAACAGTGTTCCAGTTTGACACTTTAAGGACATACCACCATCTTTTGTCTTATTTTCAAGTGTTTTACAATTTTTCTTGACCTCTGTATATAAATGAAATAAGTACTATTGTCAAAAATTTGGACTTCATATAAAGCTTAAAGGATGTTAAACAAATATGCATGAAATGCATCACTCTTTATCAAAGGCTTAGAAGGAGAAGGAGGTAGGAGGAATCAATTTATTTTATTTTATTGCACTTTAGGTTCTGGGGTACATGTGAAGAACATGCAGGATTGTTGCATAGGTACATACATGGCAATGAGGTTTGCTGCCTCCATCCTCATCACCTATATCTGGCATTTCTCCCCAGGTTATCCCTCCCAACTCCCTACCCCTTGCTATCCCTCCCTTAGTCCCCCACAACAGACCCCAATGTGTGATGTTACCCTCCCTGTGTCCATGTGTTCTCATTATTCAACACCCACCTATGAGTGAGAACATGTGTTGTTTGTTTTTCTGTTCTTGTGCCAGTTTGCTGAGAATGATAGTTTCCAGGTTCATCCATATCCCTACAAAGGACATGAACTCATCGTTTTTTTTGGCTACATAGTATTTTATGGTGTATATGTGCCACATTTTCCTTGTCCAGTCTATCATTGATGGGCATTTGGGTTGGTTCCAGGTCTTTGCTATTATAAACAGTGACACAATGAACATACGTGTGCATGTGTCTTTATAATACAACAATTTATAATCCTTTGGATATATACCCAGTAATGGGATTGCTGGGTCAAATGGAATTTCTATTTCTAGGACCTTGAGGAATTGCCACACTGTCTTTCACAATGATTGAACTAATTTACACTCCCATCAACAATGTAAAAGTGTTCCTATTTCTCCACATCCTCTCCAGCATCTGTTGTCTCCAGATTTTTTAATGATCGCCATTCTAAATGGTGTGAGATGGTATCTCAGTGTGGTTTTGATTTGCATTTCTCTAATGACCAGTGAAGATGAGCATTTTTTCATGTTTGCTGCCCTCATATATGTGTTCTTTTGTAAAGTGTCTGTTCATATCCTTGACCCACTTTTGAATGGTTTTTTTTTTTCTTGTAAATAAGTTTTAGTTCTTTGTAGATTATGGATATAAGTCCTTAGATAGGCAGATTGCAAATATTTTTTCCCATTTTGTTGTGCTGGTTCACTCTATTGTGTGTTTCTTTTGCTGTGCAGAAGCTCTGGAATTTAATTAGATCCCATTTGTCTATTTTGGCTTTTGTTGCCATTGCTTTTTGTGTTTTAGTCATGAAGTCCTTGCCTATGCCTATGTCCTGAATGGTTTTGCCTAGGTTTTCTTCTAGGGTTTTTATGGAGTTAGGTCTTATGTATAAGTCTTTAATCCATCTGGAGTTAATGTTAGTGTAACGTGTCAGGAAGGGGTCCAGTTTCTGCTTTCTGCACATGGCTAGCCAGTTTTCCCAACACCATTTATTAAACAGGGAATCCTTTCCCCATTGCTTTTGTCAGGTTTGTCAAAGATTGGATGGTTATAGATGGGTGGTATTGCCTCTGAGGCCTCTGTTCTGTTCCATTGCTCTGTGTCTCTGTTTTGGTATCAGTACCATGCTGTTTTGATTACTGTAGCCTTGTATTATAGTTTGAAGTCAGGTAACATGATGCCTCCAGCTTTGTTCTTTTTGCTTAGAATTGACTTGCCTATGTGGGCTCTCTTTTGGTTCTATATGAAGTTTAAGGTGGTTTTTTACAGTTCTGTGAAGAAGGGCATAGGTAGCTTGATGGGGATAGTGTTAAATCTATAAATTTCTTTGGGCAGTATGGCCATTTTCAGAATATTGATTCTTCCTTACCATGAGCATGGAATGCTTTTCCATCTGTTTGTGTCCTCTCTTATTTCATTGAGCAGTGGTTTGTAGTTTTCTTGAAGAGGTCCTTTACATCCTTTGTTAGTTGTATTCCTAGGTATTTTATTCTCTTTGTAGCAATTGTGAATTGCAGTTCATTCTTGATTTGGCTCTCTTTAAGTCTGTTACTGATGTATAGGAATGCTTACGATTTATGCACATTTATTTTGTATGCTGAGATTTTGTTGAAGTTGCTTATCAGCCTAAGAAGATTTTGGGCTGAGACAATGGGGTCTTCTAAATATACAATCATGTCACCTGCAAATAGAGACAATTTGACTTCTTCCTCTCCTAATTGAATACCCTTTATTTCTTTTTCTTGCCTGATTGTTCTGGCTAGAACTTCCAATACTATATTGAATAGGAGTGGTGAGAGGGGGCATCCTTGTCTAGTGCCAGATTTCAAAGGGAATGCTTCCAGTTTTTGCCCATTCAGTATGATATTGGCTGTGGGTTTGTCATAATAGCTTTTATTATTTTGAGATACGTTCTGTCGATACCTAGTTTATTGAGAGTTTTGAGCATAAAGGGCTGTTGAATTTTGTTGAAGGCCTTCTCTGCATCTATTGAGATAATCATGTGGTTTTTGTCTTTGGTTCTGTTTATGTGGTAAATTACATTTATAGACTTGCATATGTTGAACCAGCCTTGCAACCCTGGGATGAAGCGTACTTGATCATGATGGATAAGCTTTTTGATGTGCTGTTGCAATTGGTTTGCCAGTATTTTTTTGAAGATTTTTGCATCTATGTTCATCATGGATATTTGGCCTGAAGTTTTCTTTTCTTGTTGAGTCTTTGCCTAGTTTTGGTATCAGGATGATGTTGGTCTCATAAAATGATTGGTGAAGGATTCCCTCTTTCTGGATTGTTTGGAATAGTTTCAGAAGGAATGGTACCAGCTCCTCTTTGTATGACTGGTAGAATTCGGCTGTGAGCCCATCTGGACTTGGGCTTTTTTTTGATTGGTAGGCTCTTAATAGCTGCCTCAACTTCAGCCCTTGTTGTTGGTCTATTCAGGGTTTTGACTTCTTCCTGGTTTAGGCTTGGGAGGGTGCAAGTGTTTAGGAATTTATTGATTTCTTCCAGGTTTACTGATTTATGTGCATAGAGTTGTTTGTAGTAATTTCTGATGGTAGTTTGTATTTCAGTGGAATCAGTGGTGATATCCCCTTTATCGATTTTTATTGCATCTATTTGATTCTTCTCTCTTTTCTTTTTTATTAATCTGGCTAGTGGTCTCTTTTATTGATCTTTTCAAATAACCAGTTCCTGGTTTTATTAATTTTTTGAAGGGTTTTTTGTGTCTCTATCTCCTTCAGTTCTGCTGTGATTTTAGTTACTTCTTGTCTTCTGCTAGCTTTTGAGTTTTTTTGATCTTCCTCCTGTAGCTCTTTCAATTTTGATGATAGGGTGTCAATTTTAGATCTTTCATTGCTTCTCATGTGGGCCTTAATTGCTATAAATTTTCCACTAGATACTGCTTTAAAAGTGTCCCAGAGATTCTGGTATGTTGTGTCTTTGTTCTTGTTGGTTTCTAAGAACATCTTTATTTTTGCCTTCATTTCATTGTTTATCCAGTCAACATTCAAGAGCCAGTTGTTCAGTTTCCATTAAGTTGTACGGTCCTGAGTTAGTTTCTTAATCCTGAGTTCTAATTTGATTGCACTGTGGTCTGAGAAACTGTTTGTTATGATTTCCATTCTTTTGCATTTGCTGAGGAGTGATTTACTTCCAATTATGTGGTCAATTTTAGAGTAGGTGTGATGTGATGCTGAGAAGAATGTATATTCTGTGGATTTGTGGTGGAGAGTTCTGTAAATGTCTATTAGGTTTCCTTGGTCCAGATCTGAGTTCAAGTCCTGAATATGCTTGTTAATTTTCTGTCTAATATTGACAGCGGAGTGTTAAAGTCTCCCACTAAGTCTAAGTCTCTTTGTAGGTTGTTCAGAACTTGCTTTATGTATCTGGGTGCTCCTGTATTGGCTGTGTATATATTTAGGATCGTTAGCTCTTCTTGTTGCATTGATCCTTTTACCCTTATGTAATGCCCTTGTCTCTTTTGATCTTTGTTGGTTTAAAGTCTATTTTATCAGAGACTAGGATTGTAACTCCTGCTTTTTTTTTTTTTTTTTGGTCTCCTTTTACTTGGTAAATCTTCCTTCATCCCTTTATTTTGAGTCTGTGTGTATCCCTGCATGTGAGATGGGTTTCCTGGATACAGCACATCATGGGTTTTGACATTTTATCCAATTTGCCAGTGTGTGTCTTTTGATTGGGGCATTTAGCCTATTTACGTTTAAGGTTAATATTGTTATGTGTGAATTTGATCTTGCCATTTTGATGCTAGCTGGTTGCTTTGCCCATTAGTTGACGTAGTTTCTTCATTGTTTCGATGCTCTTTACCATTTGGTATGTTTTTGGAGAGGCTGGTACTGGTTGTTCCTTTCTATGTTTAGTGCTCCTTTCAGGACCTCTTGTAAGGCAGGCCTTGGGATGATGAAATCTCTGAGTACTTGCTTGTTCGTAAAGGATTATATTT